GTGTCTATTCACAGATAATAAAAAAAGAGAAATATGCGGACAGCCATCATCGCTTCCATTCTAAACTGATACTTACCTGCACAGGGCTCGTCTCTGGGCTGGTGGTATCACGGCTACGATTAGCTTGGACTATCTCTGGCCTGGACCAGCTATGACAAGCCAAGACCATATATGACTAGCTTAGACCAGCTATGACAAGCCAAGACCATCTGTGACTAGCTTAGACTAGCTATGACCAGCTTGGAGAAGCTATGACCAGCTAAGACCAGCTTGGACCAGCGGCCCGAGTGAAAACACTCGGGTCCTCACGTTAAAAACTGACCTTGTGTTACAACCTGACTCATTTGGGGGTCAAGTAAATACACTTACCTGTCGTAGGCCGGACAGGTTTTATCATCTCTCAGTTGCGTCTCTGTCTTTCGGCAGAGTGCGATTCAGTTGCGGCTCCGTCGGAGGATTGAGGCACAACTGAGGAAAATTATACAGTGAGGTGCCCAGCTCTTGGGACAGATGCCCGAGGCTGCACCCTTTCATTGCACTAGAGGGAGGGATCGGTGCTCGCACTGAAGTCAGCCAAACCGATGTTTAGAGGGGCTCGGAGATTTTTTTCTTTTTTTTTTGGCCTGTGTGTCCGCGCTTGAGTTTCCCACATTAAACCCGAGAGAACTTCACCATCTAGTTACGAACGCCAGATCATTATCCCATAATGAAGCACCCGTAGCATAGCATAAGCTTGTCCTGATAGTTCCAAAGCGTCTCCGAGTCCCTGTGGATGATGAATTATTTTCTACCTTGCAACCAATTTCCTACAGACGAAACGTCGCAGACCTCTCGCTGCTCTATCGCTATTTCCATGCAAAAAATATTCCTTCGTTCCATCAGTTATAAGCATCTTAACCCGCCATGCATCCGACAGCCGGGCCTCTGATCAGGAGGTTATGAGCAGCGTGGAACCACCTCTTAATTGCTGGTGTTCCCATGTTCACACTGATCCGGAGTGGTAGCGTCTTTCAGGGTCCCAACAATGGGCAAATATTTGACCCCCTCCCCGACAAAAAAGAACTGGGGTGAAAACACTATGAAAATGTAAAAATCAATTTTAATACCAGAAATAACATTTTGTAAAAAATTACTGCCAGCAATACATTTTTGAAGAAAAATATTACTTGAAATACATTTTTGAAGAAAAATAAAGTCCAGCAACACATTTTTGAAGAAAAAAAAATAATACCAGCAAAACATTTTTGTGAAAAAACTATTAGCATCAATATAGATAGATAGAAAGAAAGAAAGAAAGAAAGAAAGAAAGAAAGAAAGAAAGAAAATATAACCAGCAATAAAAATGTTGTCGGCATTAAATAATCCATTGAGGTGTTGATATGCCGTAAACCAAAACAAACCAAACCAATATATACTGAGATAGATAGATAGATAGAAAGAAAGAAAATATAACTAGCAATAAGAATGTTGCCGGCATTAAATAACCCATTGAGGTGTTGATATGCCGTAAAACAAAACAAACCAAACCAAACTGCCATGCTACACACATTGTAGCGAATCATTTCCTTCATTTCTTTTGTACTCCACTGGTGAGATGTAAGTTCCACACGAGCAGCTTCTTCCCACGAACCACTGTTGTATGGAATCGATCCTCATGTGGATGCTTCTCCACTCACTATAATCTTAACCTATTCAAGTCTAGTGTTAACCGATATATCTCCCGCATAAACTGTATCCCTTACTCTGTACCCCTCTACCTCGAGTGGTTCTTGGGACTTATACAGTATGAAAATTATTGTAAAAAAATGTAATGTCTATTCGGCAATCCTTAATGACGGCAATTAAATCTTTCTTATATAAATTATTTATTTCTAGTTGCTTATGTCATGAAATCTCTGTCCTGAAATAGTTTCTATATTTAAGGCGATTTACTTGGCACGCCACTGAGTTAGGTTGTGGTAGATGGTCGGTTTTTAACTTGAGGACAGGAGTGGAAACACTCCGACCGCTGGTCTGAGCTGATCATAGTTTGTTCAAGCCGGTCAGAGCTCGCACAAGCTAGTCATAGCTGTTCTTAGCTGGTCATAGCTTGTCCTAGCCTTTTCAAGCAGGACAGAACTCATCTAAGCTAGTCATAGTTGGTCATAGCTTGTCCAAACTGGTCGGAGCTCGTCTAAGGTAGTCATAGTTGGTCATAGCTTGACCAAGCCGGTCAGAGCTTTTCTAAGCTAGTCATAGTTGATCATAGCTTGTCCAAGCTGGTCATAGCTTGTGCAAGCTGGTCAGAGCTCGTCTAAGCTAGGCATAGTTGGTCATAGCTTGTCCAAGCTGGTCACAGTTTGTCTAAACTAGTCATAATTGGTCATATCTTGTCCAAGCCGGTCACAACTCGTAGAAGCTAGTCATAGCTGTTCTTAGCTGGTCATAGCTTGTCCTAGCTTGTCCAAGCAGTCATAGTTGGTCTTAGCTTGTCCAAGCCGATCAGAGCTCGTCTAAGCTAAACATAGTGCCAGTTATATCTCGTTGCTATACTTGAGATAAGAAATGTGTATAGAAATGTAACAATTATTATGGATTAGAAGCAGGAATAAATACCACATCTCTCCCATAATTGTGTACGTGAAAAGCGTGTGCATATGTATCAAACATTATGGTAAAAAAAATACCAGCTATGTCCTATAAGATTTCACACAATTTCTATATGAAAAGTGTATGCAAATGTCAAATGTATTGGATAATATTAATAAAACATATGCTTAAAAAGGGTGTAAGACAAGGAGGAGTCTTCTCACCGGACTTATTCAACCTATACAGTAAGGCGATCCTGAGAGAATCCTACCAAGATTCATTTTTGACACAATCTTAGCAACATAAGATAAAAACCTCCTGCACAATGTAGTGAAGGAGAGCTAATGTTGGATTATCTCTTTAAAGATAAAGAAGAGTCTTGAAGCAACATAAATGTGGTTCTACAGAAGGATGCTGAGAATACTATGGAGCGACAAACATTTAAAGAAAATAGAAACAAAAATGACAGTTATACTTAGCACCAGGAAGAGACAGGGTAAATTTCGAGGGCACATAATGAGAAAAAGGGGCTTGGAAAATCTGACACCCACAGGACAAATAGAGTACAGGAGGGACAGAGAGAAACAATTGATAACCTAACTAGTGAACTTAAGTAAATGGATGGGTTTAGAAGAAATAACAAAAAGCAAAAATTTATTAAGGGGACGATAGGAAATTGTGGAGAGTCATGATCGCCTACGTCCTGAAAGAAATCGGAGATAAAGATTTAAGAAAATGCACACGCAACATGCAAAATTATAAGCAAATGTTGTTTTAATTTTAATACCTTATCTGGAAAATAGCTACCAAAGAACGGACCTATTAGGTAATCGTTCTGAATCTTTCTTTTAGGAATGTGGCTGATCATGGCTCTCCACAACTTCCAATCTTTCGCAGCTCTAAGCAATATTTGTCCCTTTACTATCCTTCCCAGACCATGTTATACTATACGTTTACGCAAATCCGTTAGGTAGGTTACATTATTTTCCCTTCTGTTTCTTCGGCACGTGGCCGATCTTGGCTCTCCACAACTTCCTATCCTTTGCATCTCTAAATTGTTTGTCCTCTTAATCCCCCCCCCAGATCATATTCTACTGTACATTCATACAGATTCGTTTGGTAGGTTACGCTGTTTTCCTCTGTTCCTTCAGCACGTGGCCAATCACGGCTCTCCACAACTTCTTATCATTTGCATCTCTAAGGAATATTTGTCCCCTTAGTATCCTTTCCAGGCCACGTCCTGCTATACATTTAGTCAATTACTTTAAGTATGTTACTCGCATTTTCCTTCTGTCCCTTCAGTGCGTGGCAGATCATGACTCTCCACAACATCCTATCATTTGCAGTTCTAAGCAATGTTTTTCTCATTTACTATCCCTCGCAGTCCATGTTCTGGCTTCCAAGGCCATTAGATAGGATGCTTCCAGCAAAGATCAACCAGTTACGATCGAAACAAGAGCTATCGGAAGAATAAGCGAGACAATAATTCTGTTCATTACCCCATAATGTTGTGGACTTTGACCTTTTATATTAAAAGCTAATTTAACTACCCCTGTGTTTATTGCATACGATAAATTTGTTTAGTTTCCTATTATAAATATAATACCTGTTCGGCTCGGGTTAGAAACTATAATTAAACCTCTCATTAAATGCCATGTTTCTAGTCTCTCCATGTTAAAATACATGTCCCAAAATAATTGTTACATTTAGCGTATGAAATGTGTATATAAATGTAGTAACTATAATGAAACAAAGTAAAATAGAAAACCAGTGTAAAATATTATAATTATATTTTGCGATAATTAACCACACAAATCAGTTGGGGTAATGGATAGCGGCCCGGATTAAGGAATCAGAGAGCCGGGTTCGAATTCACGTTGAATCCATTAAGTCCTAATACCCACACCCAGCCCTTGCCTCTTTGGTATTTAGACACCATGAAACCATTTCATGCGCATGTATGGGAAACTAAGAACAACCGAGAATCTCTTCCCCACCCACCAATCTTCGGTTCTTTTTGTCTAATTTTGAGAACAAGCTCCGGTCAAGAGCCTAACAGCGCCGCCGTATAACAGATTATCCATATTTTTAAACAGGAGATTAAAACGGATACAAAAATAATTAACATTAATTTTATTAATCAACAACATAATCGCAAGTTGACAGCAGTTGAAATGGAGGTACGGTGGTGTAATGGATAGCAGTTTCGATTGCGGAATCGGAGAGCCGGGTTCGAATTTCAATGGTGTTTATTATATTCACTTACGTGCCAATCCATCACTTCTCCCGGCAACTAGGGATAAATAGCAGACTGGGCTCTATAGCCTTGGATGGCAACCATACTAGGAGAAGGGAAACTGAATTCAAAACATGAAAGTCGATTTACTCCTATTAAATTTACAAGTGATAATGAAAAAGATTCTACGTACTTTCAGCCTTATCAGGTTGAAACACCGGTTCCCGTACGATCACCGACGTTAAGCAAGGTCGAGCCTGGTCAGTTCCTAGATGGGTGACCGCTTGAGAATACCAGGATAAGCTTGGTGTAATGTATAATGGCTCGGAATTGTTAATTGGAGAGCAGAGTTCCAATTCCAATTGGGTTCGTTATATTCACTTACGCGCAAATACCATTGGGAAAGGTATGAATCCAACTATTCTCCCTCCATCTATGGGTTAATTAGTAAGACTTGTATCACTAAAACCATGATTATCCCCCAACCCCCCAAATATAATTGCGTGTAGTATATTCGAACCTGGTCAGTTACTACATGGGTTATCACTTGGGAACATCAGACGCTATAAACTTAGATGGTACAATGAATAATAGCTTAAAATTGTAGATCGGCAAGCCAAGTTTCAGTTCCATTTAGGTTTGTTTTATTCCCTTAAGTGCAAATGCACTTGAGTAAGGTATGCATTCACCTCTTCTCCCCTCCAGCTATGGGTTAATTCGAAAGATTTGTATCACTACAATATTTATTATCCCCCCAAATATAATTGTGTGCTGTATATTCTGATTTCAGCATTAAATAAGCCATAGAGGCTGATATGCCGCTAAACAAAAACAACCAAACTAAACCAATCAAAATATTTAGATTTTGACATTAAATAACCCATAGAGGTGTTGATATGCCCCTAAACAAAAACAACGAACCAATTAGGTTCTGAAGAGATATAGCATAATAATATACTTGGAAAAGGTATTTGGTCCATCAGATTCCACCCTCTTATGAAGGAAGCTTGGATTCTAAATTTGTAGGAGCATCTAACTTAGGGCATTTAGTCTTAGGGACAGAGTTCGTGTAGAATGGATTTTTTCCTTTCTCTATATTTACGCACACTACATTCAACCGGCAACATGTCACATCCCCCCACAAAGAGGGTTGAGTAATTAACAGAGGGTGCGACAGATAAATTGTCGCCTAAATTACGCAAAAATGATAATAACACTGACATTTCCTTTTAACAGATATATTTACCAAAATTACACAATTCCTCAATGAAGAAGAGACTCGAGGCGACAGAAATGCGGTTCTACAGAAAGATGCTATTTTTTTCCTCAGATTAGGTCATTTTCAGTAGTGTGCAGTAATATGAATCTATTTTCGAGGGGCATCATGAAATTTGTTTGGCCTTGAAAAATATTGCGTCATCCGTTATTGCATCAGATTTTATCACGCCCAGACACTATTGTCGCGACTGTCGATTACTTGTCCGATGGTCATTGTCTGTGATGGACGTTACTCCAAGGAAGTGTAAGAAAATTGTATAGCTGTACGAACACACTGGTAAGTGAGCAAATGAAAGTACTATAGACTGGCTCGAAATCTTTCTTGATTTAAATCCAATCGGGAATCTGTGGTCCATCGTAGAATGGACATACGAAGAACTAACATGTGCACTGGGTCATGTTTCATTAGAAAAATACGGAGAAAATTTAATAATAACGGAATTATTCGTTTTGTTTCAATTAATTCACACAAGGGTGTATACAGAAGACCTGAAAGCCAAACCTTTTCGAGATATCCAAAGCAACAGCTCGAGCTTCACCAATCTTATCTAAAGCTTGATAGACTCACTCAGTAATAATAGTTAGTACATAAGCAGTTGATGTAGAAAAGTGATTGCTTGTCTGAAAGAAGGTCCTTTGATGTGAGATGTTTAGCCAATTCAGGGTTGATTAAGGCATCTAGTAATTTGCCAAAATGTTAGTTCGGAAGTTTAAGCGATTCATCTGATTTCTTGAAGACTGGAAAAGCATATAAGGATTTCCAGGAATCAAGAAAGCATGACAGTGAGACATTTATTTTACTGTTTAGAGAGAACAGGATCCCTCTCAAGAGCGCTTTCATTGAGGACTATTAAATGGATACTATCACGTCCACATGTTTTACTTTTTTTATCCTGTGTCCCGTAGTATTGTAGGCGTACCATTTGTACTGCAGCCGCGGTGGTGTTTCTGGGGCAAGAGAACCTGATGACCGGTTTTGAATTCAGAGAATTTCCTTCTATAGCCGGGAGGAGAAGAAGAGGATATTAGTACGTATATGGTTGATTTCATCATGATTCTTCTGTTAAACTTGGAGAGTAATTATGCATTCTTATTGATCAATGTAGTGTCCAATATTGATATAAAAAATCCCCAGTAAGATATTTTTAATCATTTCTAGCATGCAACGATTCAAATTTTAACAATTTTGCTTTTACACGATTGCTCCACCCGGTACAACATTTCAGGAAAGTCTATTCTATCAATTTTAACTTGTTGATGCAGCAACTGTTAAAGATTTGTTTTATCCTATAGGGGCACCATGAACCCAATTTTTAGACCGGTTGCCATCCAAAGTTAGTGTTGTAGCATACCTACGGACGATAATGTAAATACAGTAGTAAATACTGAACGTTGGTCACATAAATACGGTAGTAAATACTGTATGTTGGTCTGCAGTTGCAGATTCATTGTAGAATTCACTTGACTCACTTCTAGCAGGTATCTATTTTTACGCGCCGCCGGCAAATCTTATATGCGTTTTTCGTGTCCTAAGTATTATCATCCATTAAAAATCTTCGTTTGATTATTCTATTCAGTAACCTTCGTTAGGTTACAACAGTCTGTCTTTATTGTCTATTTACTCATAGGTGGGGGGAGAAAAAGAGGATTCATACCTTTCCCAAGGGTATTAGCACGTAAGTGAATGTAATGGATTTGAGTGGAATTCGAACTCAGCTCAATCCATTACTCCAACGTGCCTCCTTTTATGAGTTAGTCAGTTATGTGCCATGCATGATACATGCTTAGGCGATATATGACTGACGAGGCAGATATTATTCCCCCGCAGTAGGTTGCCATTTCTTTGTGCGGTAGACCAGTTGTCATCCAAGGCTATGGAACCCGGTCTGCTCTGCTATTTACCCATAGCTGGGGGGAGAAGAGGAGGAGTCATACCTTTCCCAAGTGTATTAACACGTAAGGGAATGTGATGGTTTCGACTGGAATTCGAACTCGGCTCAATCCTAAATGCGAGCCGCTATACATTACTCCACCGTACCTTTGTGGTGGATCTAAAAAAGATGAAACCAATTTTTCTATTCCCCGGTTAGAAAAGTTTGCGCTGTATGAATGAAAAGAATCATATTCTAAATAGGGTTTCACAAGTCTAGCATTTACTCTTTTCTGAATTTTAGCAGTGGCCGACGAAGGGAGATACGTAAGCATTTATTCCATTTCTGCATGTAAATCATCATTGGTAATCTTATCAAGTTGTTTACTGATGAAAATTTCTTTATTTTTTTACCCACCTTCTCTTTTATCAAGATATTTTTTACGGCCTATTTTTTTAATGATTGATTATTTTTTTTTCTTCACTTGTATTCGGTCGATAATTTCCCCCCTTCTGTTTTTCGTCCGAAAAGCTTGGTGCGACGAAATGGCGACGTCAGTAAAAACTTTGACATCATGGCTGCAGAAAACACGACATAACATAAATTTAGCTTCTCTTATTTATTTCGTTAACAATCGGCTCATCAAGAAGATCTGTTGTTTACATCGATGCACTTTGTAAGAATGTTTTTCTGGGTACAAGACTGACCGAACGGAGATAGGGATCTTTTTGAAGTGTCTGGTTTTTGAAAAGAAATTTTCACAGGTTAGCCCGACAGGACTTTAGGACTCTCAGTCTTGCATTAAGTGGTAATATTTTATTTAGGGAATTTGTTTTGGTGGGTAGGATCACGATTTTACAAGCTATAAATGTTTCGCATTAAAAAAATAAATAAAAGACGCAGTAAAGGAAGATAAAGAAGAAAACAGAAGAAAGAAGAAGGAAAAAAGAAGGAGAATGAGAAAAAGGGAAAATGGAAAAGAAAGAAATTTAAAGGTAGAAAGAAAAATGGAGGAAAAGAAATGAGAAGAAAATAAAAGAAGAAAGAAAAAATGGGAAGAAAAGATGAAAGCAAAAAAAGGAGAAAAGGAAGGAATAAATGAAGAAAAATGAAAGAAAGAAAAGCAAATAGAATTGGGAAAGGAAACAGTAAAAGAAAGAAAAAAAGGAAAAAACGTAGTGGATGGAAGAAAGAAAGAAAGAAAGAAAGAAAGAATGAAAGAATGAAGGAAGGGAACAATAATGAAATTAAACAAAATACAAAACGTTCAAAAAAATAAAAAAGACAAAAAAAAAGAAAGCAAAAAGAAATGAAAAACAAAAGGAAAAAAGATTGAAAATAAAAATTTAAAGCTATATATTAGAATTTTAAAAACTACCGTATTTCCCCATATTAAGCGTTCATCCATAGTACGCACCCCTAAAATTGTGCCGAAAATGTGGGAAAATGCATTAACTCACGCATAATATCGACCCTTTGTTTGGAAATCAGACTCTATAAATTGTACCTCTCCAATTTCATTTCTACTCTTATTTAAAAAAAATATTTTTAAACATGGAATAATATTATTCTATTTTAGTTTTATGATAATTCTTATTTTATTTTACATTTGTAAGTATCGTTAGGTACATATGATTGTATTTGACATGCTTATGGGGTCGCAATCGTCGAATGTTAGTGTCAAATTGTCGTATGTTTGTGGTGAGTAATCATTTCGCAATTGAAATCGACCTATGAAACTGCAATTTTTAAAAGATTTTTGTATCTGAGTATAATACGCATCCCTAATTTTGCTTATTATTTTAGAAAAAATGGGTATTATACATGGGGAATTACGGTATATTAAAAACTTGTTAAACGTTCGTTATTAAGATATATGAATTGTTTTGCCATGTACTGGACAGAAAGCGTGTTAAAAATTGGAATGATTAAGTTTGTATTTACATCTTTAATAGAATTGTACCATAAATAAAATAATTCTTCGTAGTTCTGTATTTGGCAAATTTGACAACCTTCCTACCATAAATCTCTTCTTAGTTTTCAATCACATAATTTTCAAATCGAAATCGAAAATCCATGATGGAAATGTGAAACGGATTGTTCATTTTGTTTTGTTTTTTTGAATATGTAACATATTTGTTATTAAAAA